AAGTGGAGCTTCGCATCTCAAACTGCGCCTTGAAGCGATACGCCAGAGAAAAGCGTCGAGACTGACTGGAAATGGCCTGTTGTGTACTTGCGCGATGTCGTTCATTAGGATCACCGAAAAGGGATTTCTACATAATGCTTTGCATGTGTATTGAAAAGGGGGGTCTTTTCGAGGTTTTAACGCGAAAGACTTTCCAGAAATTGCATCCTGTTTTAATAATTGGAAAATAAATAATTATCGGGTCTGATCCGTGAAAAGGGAACCAGGACCAACAGGAAAAGTCTATTTCTATCATCAGATAGTGGTGCCAATTCCCAGAATTTTCCGGAACGTTGGACTCATGAGGCAAGTTCCCGGAGGGAGTCGGCTTGCAAAGCTCTTCCCAGAACATTTCTTCTGAGAAATCCCTGAAAGGATCTTGCTCGTCATGAGGAGAACAACACGAAGGATTTCAAAAGCAACTGCACCGACAATATCGCGAATTAAATCGGCGATGAGGAAAGTGGTGCAGAAATTCCACCTGCCGAGCTGTCAACTTTAAAGCTTAGTAATCGCTTGCGCTAATCTCATCGTTAAAAAATATTCTCTTCGTCCCGAACTTCTAATAGGGTTAGCTTGTGAAAGAAACGACCATTAGCTCTCATATTTCAACATCAACACGGCATTTAAATTCCCAACTGGTGCTAATGTCAGTTTATGAATACCACCCATCGACTTTTTTATTTTGAAATACGAGTGACGATCGTTCTTCTGATACGAGTATCAGAAGAACATCATCGTTTCTCATGATTGACCTTCAGAAGTTTGAAATAATGACTCAAGTATCTATCTATGCTCTGAAATAATGCAAAACATAAAAAATTTCAGCCCTCGAACTTCTTTTACTCACATAAGTTTAACTGGGCATAATACTCTCCATTCCCTCCGGGTGTTGTACAACGGTTTGTAGCATTCGTTTGGGATTGAACGGAACTTTCAGATGATGCCTGGCACTTGCCAATTGCATAGTCAGTGTTTCTACAAGCTTCCCCTAAATTCGGGCTTACAATTTTTTTCGTCCCCTCAGCATATTTAGGTCTATTTAACTGCAGATGGGGATGTGAAGGAGGAGCTCCTCTCGATCTCGACTTCGGATGTTAATATGGGGATAAATATCTCGTATCATCCCAACCCAAACCTTGTTATTCTCGAAGTAACCCCGAAGCACCTTACTCCTGTTGGATCCCGAGTCTCTCGGCGGTTGAACCCGAGGAGACGCCCGAGGTTCTCTCCACGCAGAGTGGCACGGCACATGCACCGTCTCCGTGGAAGGGCCGTGGATGAATGCTCGAAGCGGGAATTGCGGTCTTGATGAGTCTAGTGGCACTCATTCTGTGGTAATCTCGGTGGATCGAAGTCACAAATCGGCTTTTCTTCCGGAAGAACGCAAACGATGTCCGAAATGTCGGGCTCCGACAACGGCCTGCTGGAAAATTCTAAATTCACGTCCACGGCAGTCATTTCACAATAGGAAGGATATCGCCACAGCCTTGAATGGCGTTCGAAGAGAGACTGAATGCAGCAGTTTGGCGCCGTCAGCAGGGCGGAAGTTGGAAAAGACGGCTTGAAGAACTTCTCAAGAACCAAGATGGACTCGGATTATCTTCTTTCATTTATTGCCTTGGTAACACACCCTCGTCACAGTTATTATCTTGCTTGCGCAATACGTAGATACATATCGAGAGTAAACAGATTGAGAGCAAGGGAAAATGTTTTAGCCTGCAGCCGCCCATGCATGGAGAGAGCACGACCCAAGTCGCAACATGGAAATATTTCAGAATGAGATAGTACAAATCGGCTTGCTATGCGCGCAAACAAGTCACATAATTAGTGATACTTCGTATGAACTAATACTTTGCTTTGCGAAGTATTGGAAGCAAAGAGTAAAACACGCTCTAGTTTCATCGGTGCCCTGAGTGGAAAGACTGCCAGTGGCCCCCCCCCCTCCCCACACACACACACACACACA